CAGCTGTGGCTACAACTGTAGCTGCCTCCACCAGTGTGTGAGTGTGAGAGTGAATGAATAGTGGCATTGTAAAGCGCTTTGAGGGCCCCGGAAAGCGCTATATAAATGCAATCCATTATTATGAACCAGTATAATGTAGTATATAGTAGTAGTATAATAGTGTAGTATAATTGTGATAATGATAGTGACAGGCCTCACTGAGAGCCTGACCTTGGTGTATCCAGGTGTGTGTGCGTGTAGAGCTGGACTGGAGCCACTAACCTCCAAATGTCTGACTTTTAAAATGACTTAATGCAAGAAGTTGCATAAAATAAATACAAATAAATGGTAATTGACAAACACATTCAGTAAAAGGACTAGATGTTACAGTCCCTGACAATGCATTGCTTTTAATTGAGAAAATCTTGGGGGATGGCTGTTATGAGGAAAAGCAGCCCAGAAACCAGCGGCAAACATCGTTGTGTGCCTCAACCTTCGGTCTTTTACCCAGGCTAATCTACCGTTTTCCCTTGGTTAGGTTTAGGGGTTAGAGATCTGATCTAAATTATTAAAATGTGGGACACATTGTCAGTTGTGGACCTTGGATTCATCGGGTGTTTCGGCCATTATCACTAGACACCCTCATCCAAGGAGGCCCTGCCAGGGTTGATCAGGCCCTGGAGTGCGTCAGTGGTTTATGTTAAAATAGTTATTTCTCTTCTTCTTTCTCCTGTTTAGTTTTCTACAGTTTATTCTATCTATTCACGGCAACTGAGAAATACCTACCTCTTTAACATTTATGAAGCCTCATTTCTTCAAAGGGACAGAAAAGGTGACAGAGAGGAGTAAGACAAGTAAGTAAGATAAGATAAGAGAGAGCAGAGAGGAGAGCCGGAAGGGGGGCGCCCGATCTGGATTCCCACACCTCCCCGCCGGATCGGGCTGTGCGCTCTACCTCCCCACTGCCTCCCAGAAAAGAGAAGAGCGGAACATTTTTCATTCCTCCTTTTAGTTTCAGTACCATGAGGTTAACTGCACAGTCCCCAGGAGGCGCTGAGACAGCTGTAGCAGTCAACCAGAAAACTAATGTTATGTTTTACCCTTTCAACGCCCCCTGCTGAGGCAGGCCCACCGCGGGTCCATCAATCCTGGGCATGTGTCTCGCGGTTAGCTGACTGCCTTAGCTGCACAAGTGATGTCAGCCCTTTTTTAGCCATAACCAGTGACTGGTCCTCTCAGCAGTGTTAGCTAGTTCTCTAATTCACAACAGCCCTGATCAATGCTAACAGCTGACCTGACTGGCTACCTCCCTGGACTTTTTTAGGGGGGAGGTAACAATGTTTAAAACAATAACAATAATAATATTTATGTTAATAATGGCAGCACGGTGGCACGGTGGTTAGCACTGTTGCCGCACAGCAAGAAGGTCCTGAGTTCAATCCCACCATCAGGCCGGGGTCTTTCTGTGTGGAGTTTGCATGTTCTCCCCGTGTTTTCTCTCCGGGTACTCCGGCTTCCTCCCACCGTCCAAAGACATGCAGCTTGTGGGGATAGGTTAATTGGATAATCCAAATTGTCACTAGGTGTGAATGTGTGAGTGAATGTGAGTGCGAATGGTTGTCTGTCCCTATGTGTTAGCCCTGCGACAGACTGGCGACCTGTCCAGGATGTACCCCGCCTTTCGCCCTATGACAGCTGGGATAGGCTCCAGCGCCCCCCGCAACCCTGAAAAGGATAAGCAGAAGCGAATGGATGGATGGATGGACATTTATAACGAGGTGCAATAATAATTAATGTGCAATAATAACAGTGTGCAATACACTTCTTCTTCTTTTTTTATACTAAGTTAATATACTGTGTTGTGTTGTTTGTGTTGCGTTGTGATGTGTCATATCGTGTCGTGTTGTTATATGTAGTGCCGACGTAGGACAGTTTTCCAGTTTCATTGTACTACTGTACTATGTATGACTGTGCAATGACAATAAAGACTTATCTTATCTTATCTATCTTACAGCCTGCCGTTGTGCCTGTCCTTTGATCCCAATCTCTCAGAGCAGCTTTGCTGCTGTACTGCCAACAAAGCCCCTGCACCCCACCTCCACTGGACGCACCTTGATCTTCCAGCCTCTGTCCTCTGCCTCAGCTGCCAAGTTGGCATACCGCTGCTTCTTACGCTCAAATGCCTCCTCAATTGCTTCCTCCCATGTTACCGTCAGCTCAACGACTGAGTTTTGAGGAGTTAGACCAAAGGACGAGGTCTGGTCGCAGAGTAGTTGTTACGATCTCTGTGGGAAAAATTAGCCTCTGATCCAAGTCCACTTGCAATCCCTGGCAACCTTCAGCGGGCCCAGGTCCAGAGTTGAGGGGCTCATCCTCGGCTTGTCTCCAGAGTTTTAAAAGGGAGAAGTAAGAATTCCACTGTATTTGAATTAAATAGGATTATTTTACTATAAATGTTCATGTGAAAATGTGCCAAAGACAAATCTAACTGAAGTAGAATTAGAACATAAACTGAACGAAACATGAAGTGAATTATATCCATAAATGGGACGCGAAAGTGAATTCTGTTTTTCTCTTACTTTTTGTGCTAAGTTTGGTTTACTGAACTCGGGGATAAAGACGAGATGACATGGACACTTTTCTGCATGCCACAATATGTTGGTTAGAATTTGTGCCTGAGATGTTGCGTTGTTCTGCATTAAGCTGCACAGGCGACAAACAGGTGCTTTTTGTATTGAATCAGTGTAACAGTGAGCTATTTCCCACATGTTGTGTGTGTGTAAAAGTGTGAAAGTTCTGCATCAAAAATAGAGCTCACATTTCAGTGTGAATAAGAAGCTGTGACATTAAACTCAGCCTTCATTTTGAGACTAGCTAACACACCTTACATAACACACCTTTAAGTTTAACTACATCCTGCACAGCTGGATACCATGATTACAAAGTGTGTGTCTGTGCACACTCCCTGTTACAGTTTTTCCTACATATCTCAGCGTTTAACAGCCTGTGTTTGCATACAGACTGTATCAGTGATGCTGTAATGTTCTGTACTTGACCTGCAGGCTTTATAACTGGAGTTTTGCATGGCAACTTTAGGGATGACGGCTGTTTTGTTATCTTCTGCAAATTAGAAATGTGTTGTTAAACATGAAAAGGACAGAGGCCTTTCACTGTGTGCTGCTATGCAGGAACAGTGTTCCTGCTGTTTGTGTAATGGTTACAGACTCATGGCAAAGTTTAAATGTGATAGTTTTTTAAAACAAGGAAGGCTGCTTTGTAGTAACTCCGACGATGTTTAAGGTGTGTTCAGGTTGTCTTTCCAAGAAGTCGCTTGGCTTGCTGAAGAAAACTCATGGACAGGAACATGGCATGTAAACAGACCAGCTCCAAGTTTCACTCTGCTGAGGCTTCATCAGACAGGCTGGAGTCACAGTTACAGATTCCCCAACTGAAACCATGAATCAGTCATTGCATTTTATTTTGATTCTGTGAAACTACACCCATGCAGTTTGGGCTGCATGTAGTCGAGAAGCAGACACCTTCACAAAGGACACAAGAGGAAGTCTTTTTGTTATTTTAAATGATCAGATATAAATAAGCTGTGCTGTGAATTTCAAAGTGAGGAAACAAAATAAAAGATTGAGAGTTTCTCTGAAGAATATTCTCAATGTCGCTCTCCAGCTGAGCCCTTCTGTTGCAGCTGCTATTGCTTACATGGTTGAGGAGGTGACCTACAGACCAGTCATTATGTTAGTTTGGGACTTTGGTGAATTTGTGTGGCCAGTTTAGATCACAACAGAATTAATTACAGTGAGTATAAATTTGATAAGTTAACACGCACATATATAGATGTATAGCACTGTGTCATATATCATTATTTTTCGGAAAAACCGATAAATATGATATTTAAAACCAAAGTTAAAGCATTAACAAGAGCAGAAGCCCGTTTACAGTTTAAACGAGTGCAGTGTGGCGTACACTGACTGAGACGGAATTAAAAACGTGCCAAACACAGATCAGAGAACAGGTACTGTTTTTCTCAGGATTTGAATGCTCAAGTGAACTACACTTCCCGGGGAACCTGAACGCAACAGTCTTGTTTTGAAATGTGACGTCAGCGCTACAGGTAAAAAGGCACACCTGTACCGCCACACGGACAAACACGGAGCTAAAATATGCGGAAGTGAAGCGCTACGAGCTGGTTTAGAAAGAGTTTCCATCAAAGTTCCTGCGGCAGTGATGGAGAGACACTGCTGAGCTGCTGGGTGGAGAAGTGTAGAGAGACGGAACCCACATCTGCTCTGAAGCACCTTTCAGCATGTTCTTCAAGAAGGTCGAGGTAAATGGAGCGCCTGTGTTTTCATCCTCTGACAGAGATGGGCGTCACAGAAACCACTCTGGCTTTTTACTGGAAACTGACCTGGATAGAAATGCAGCTGAATGAAATCATGTCCACGAAGAAAATACTGCTTTATTATTGATTTGTAGAAAAGTTTTTAGCTACTCTCAGATTATTTCAACAGTCTGAAATCCTGTCCTGTTGTCGTG